GCCACTAAGCACAGTAAGTTTGCGATTCCTTTAACCAACTGAAAGAAGTCTAGAGACTTCATTCATGGAGCACAGTCCTCACAGAGCACACGTGCTCTTGACTAGCCACTACTTCCCTTCAGACATTCAATCTTCTGTCTTCGGAGCTGGCATAAGAAAAAACAGCCTGGACTGGATACAAGATTCATTTTTTTGACAAAAAGACAACTGTAAATCAAGAACTGAAATACCAGGCTTGTAGATAGTAACATCAAAAGGGGAGGAGGAAAGAAAGAAGAAAACGAGACTACTTACCAAGAAAGAAAGGGAACAAACCATCTCACAACTACTTGTATATTAATGCCAGGGTGATAGGAAATAAACAGACTGAGCAATTATTCCAGGAGAAGACTGCAGGGGACTTAACAGAAACACAGCAGGGTAAGTCACAAGAAAGGAATGCTAACACTAAGAAATAAAGCAATTTCAGATGTAATAGAAGAGAGTTAGTACTACATATGAAATTACAAGTATTAAAAGGTAAATAACACTGATGGAAAAGACAGAAAAGATAGTTTATGAATTAAGGTTGGGAACTTAGTGAAGGAGATGAAACAGCTTGCATCTGTCATAGATCTCAACTCTGAATGAAAAAACATTGCTCTTTAATTGTTTTGACAACAGACTAAAGCCCTAGTATTTGGTACAGTCATGAAAGACTGTAATGATTTTTCTAGGAAACACTTTGGAAAGTTCTAAATATGAGAGGTAGCACATTAACTGAGGAAGTACTGGGAAGGCATGAGGCCCTAATTGTCTTTCCCTGTAACCTGAGAGACCAGCAAATGGAAGACTTTATACTCCCCCCCCCCAAAAAAAAAAATCAATGAAAGCATGTACCGGGGAGCAGGGGGAATGGAACAGTATAGGGGCACATCTTGAAGCTTCACACTTTTGCTAAATTCTAGATAATAGTGAGATAAGAACTTTCCTTATAAGTGATACAGAGATTAGACACAGAGAACTCTAAACTCTGGAGAACCTAATCAAAGCTGCAGACAGAATTTTAGACTTTGTACTTGTGTACAATTGTAACATTTGGAGAAATTACCCAAAGCACAATTTCATGATTCAAAACCATAAGAGTTTCGTTGTGTGAAAAATCAGGCAGTTTGCACCTATTAATGACTATGGCAATATGCCAAGAGGCTTATTAACTTACCTATAGCAGGAGTGTTTCC